ATTACATGGTGACCATGTGGATGGGCAAGTCCAAACCTTTGGAGGAGTATTATCAGAAGCTTGACACAATGGGGGAAATAGACTTCACTAAAATAGCCTAGCTAAGTAATTAAACAAATAAAAAAGCAAACAACAATAAAAAATCCTGGAAGAGAGGATCAGTATCTAGAGTTGACATGCTAACTAAAATGTCAAGTTTTCAACAACAAAAAAATTACAAGACATGCAAAAAACAAGAAAGTAATACCCAAACACAGAGAAAAAAAGTGAATAGAAACTAATTTGTGAGTGAGCCCAGATGTCAGATCTAACAAAGACTTCAAAGGAACTGGTATAAATATGTTCACAGAACCAAAGTAAAGTACTATGACAAACATTTCAACAGATCTAGAATATTAATAAAGAGAAAGTAATTATTAAAGAAGAACCAAATGGAAATTCCGGAGTTGAAAATATAATGATTGAAATAAAAAATTCAATACAAGGACTCAATAGATTTGAACTGACAGAAGAAAAAAAGTAAATGAATTTGAAGATAGATCAACAGAGATTTTATATTCTAAACAGAGAAAAAAAGAGAAATGAATAGAGTTTCAGAAGAATATGGACACCACCAAGCAAACCAACATATGCCAAATTGGGAGTAAGAGAAGGAAGAGTGAAAAAGGACTTGAAAACTATTCAAAGAAATAATATCTGGAAACTTAATAAAGTGTGTATGAATTAGTCTCTAGGTTAGACCATATCTAGAGAATAAAAAATCCTCAATAAATTTAAAAGAACTGAAATCATATAACATATATTCTCTAATCATAATGGAATGAAATTAGAAACCAATAATAACAGAAAGAAATTGGTAAATTGAAAAACATGTAAATATTAAACAACACATTAATGGGTCAAAGTAGAAATAAAAAATGATATTAGAAAATATCTTAAGATGAATTAAAATAAGATACAACGTACCAAAACATATGAGATGAAGATAAAGCTGTGCTTCAAGGCAAATTATAACTGTAAGCATCAATATTAAAAAAGAAGAAAGATCTCAAATTGATAACCTAAACTTCTACCTAAAGACAATGGAACAATAAACAAAATTAAACTAAAAAGTAAAAATGAGATTGGAAATAAATGAAATAGAGTATGGACAAAATAGAGAAAAATCAATGAAACTAAAGTTTAGTTCTTTGAAAGGTCAGAAAAATTGTGAAACTTTTAGCTAAAGTAACGAAGAAAAAAGACTTACATTATCATAGCAGAAATGAAGGAGATGACATTATTACTGACCCATAGATAAAAAAGTATAAAAAAAACTCAAAGTAAAAAAATTAGGTAACCCAGATGAAACGGACAAATTCTGAAGAGACAAACTATTCAAGAAGAAATAAACCGACTCAAGAAAAAATAGAAAATTTAATAGATCTACAAGTAGAGACTGAATTAGTAATTTAAAAACTTTCCACGATGCATCAGTGTAAGTTCATCAGTTGTAACAAATGTACAATTCTGGTGGGGAATGTTGATAATAGGGAAGGATACACATATATATGAGCAGGAAGTATATGGAAAATCTCTGTACTTTTCCTTTAATTTGCTGTGGACCTAAAACTGCTCTAGAAAAATAAAATCTAAAACAAAACACTTTCCACAAATAAAAGCCTAGGCCCAGATGGCTTCACTGGTGATTTCTGCCAAACATTTAAAGAAGAATTTATACCAATTATTTACAAACTTTTTCTCAAAAGTACAGGAGGAGAGAGCATTTCTCAACTCATTCTGAAGCCATTATTACTCTGATACAGAAATTAGACAAATACATCACAAGAAAACTAAAGACTAATCTCTCTTATGAATATAGACACAAGCATCCTAAATTAAGTAGAAGGAAACCAAATCTAGCAACTTATAAAAAGGATCATACACCATAGCTATGTGGAATTTATCCCAGGAATGTGAGGTTGATTTAACACCCCAAATTAATTAATTTAATACACCAAATCAATAGAACAAAGACAAAGCCCATGCCATGATCTCAATAGACACAGAATAAGCATTTGAGAAAATCCCAAACTTCTTGATGATAAAAAATACTCTACAAATTAGAATTAGAGAAGGGAACTTCCTCAAATAATAAAAAGCATGTAGTAATAATCCATAGCTCATATCATAATTAACAGTATAAGAACGAGCACCTTCTTCCTAGATTAGGAAAAAGACAAAGGATATCCACTCTTAACACTTCTATTCAACATTGTACTGGAGATTCTAGCCAGGGAAACCAGGCAAGAAAATGAAATTTAAGGCATCTAGACTGGGCATAAGTAAAACTATTCCTATTTCGATGATACGATCTTATACATAGAAAATACAAAGGAATTCTCTAAGAAAATATAAAAATTTATACATGAGTTCAGTAAAATTTCATGACACAGGATCAACACAAAAAATCAGTCATTCTCTACATCAAATATGAAATGAAATTAAGATATAATTACATTTAAAATTGTATCAAAGAATAAAATATTTAGGAATAAGTTTAGCAAAAGAAGTATAAAATTACATTCAAAAACTACAAAAGAAACTACAGTTGAAGAAAATTAAGACTTAAATAAATGAAAATACATGTTATGTTCATGGATAAACATGAGCCTTAATATTGTTAAGAGGCAATATTTTCCATATTAATCTTTAGATAAAATGCAATCTCTATCAAAAATCACAGCTGACTTCTTTGTAGAAATTGACAAGCTGAACTTAAAATTTATATGGGGATTTAAAGGACCCAGAATATCCAGGACAAACAATCTTGAAAAAGAAGGACAAAATTGAAAACTTAATTTCTTATATTAAACATCACAAAGCTCAATAATTAAGACGCTATGGTACTGGCATAAAGATAAACATACAGAGCAATGGAATCCAATTGGAAATCCAAAATTTTCATAAATCCATAAATCCAATTTGTGGTCAATTGTTTTCAACAATTGCTAAGGAAATTCAAAGGGGGAAAATAGACTTTCCAAATGGAGCTATGACAAAAAGATACTCATATACTGCTGTATATGATTTTTAAAGGATTATTAGGGAATACAAGTGAAGAATGAAAACCGTTCTCAAACACAACTCAAACACAACTCACTGCCAAATTGCTGATTTTTGCATATCTTCTTCCAGACTTTCATCTATGCTTTTTCTTAAAAAGCACTGATAATACTGTACCTAAATTTTATGCATTTTTAACAAAAAAAGCCCAGGCTTCAACAAAGTCTTTGTAAACATTATGTATGATAATATCATAATACTGCACTGTAATTTGCTTTTACCATTCACTACTGTTTATCATTTAAGTTCTTTCCGAATTTAATTATTATAAATAAGCTTGCAAAGTTTCCTTGGGATAAGGTTTTTTCTATACTTCTTTGGAATAGATTTTTAGAAATTGGGTCAAGGATAATAATATCTTTAGGCTTCTGATATACACATATATCTTAACTACTTTCTAAGAGTTGTACCAGTTTACATTTAGTAGCAGTGTAAAAAAATACAGTTGACCCTCGAACAACATGAGGGTCAGGGGCACTGACCCTCTGCATAGTTGAATATCCACATAGAACTTCTGACTCTCAAAAAACTTTACTAATGATTATCATTGACCTGAGCCTTACAGAATAACATAAAGTCAATTAACACATATTTTGTATGTTATGTGTATTATACACTGAATACTTGCAATAACATAAGCTAGAGAAAAGAAACTGTTAAGAAAATCAAAAGGAAAATATATTTACAGTATTGTCTCAAAAACAATTTGCATGTAAGTGAACCCAGGCAGTTCCGATCCATGTTGTTCAAAGTACAATTGTTCCTGCTTCTATACATCTTCACAAACATACTTCATTTTCATCTTTAAAAGTCCTTAGACCATGGATCTGAAATTCTACTTACAACCTATATTAGAAGAAGAACACATTTTAAGTTTGGTAATGGGGATAATATCAATATTTTCTATAAAGGTTTTGCTTAACAGCAAAGGAAGCAATAAACAAAATTAAAAGGCATCCTACAGAATAGGAGAATATATTTGCAAATGACATACTAGATAAATGACCAGTATCCAAAATCTATGAAGAACTTATCAGGGACGCCTGGGTGGCACAGTAGTTGAACATCTGCCTTTGGCTCAGGGAGTGATCCTGGTGTCGCGGGATCAAGTCCAGCATCAGGCTTCTCATGGGGAGTCTGCTTCTCCCTCTGTCTCTCTCTGTGTCTCTTATGAATAAATAAACAAAATCTTTAAGAACTTCTCAAACTCAATACCTCAAACCCAAACAATACAGTTAAGAAACGGGCAGAAGACATGAACAGACATTTCTCCAAAGAAGACATTCAAATGGTCAAAAGATACATGAAAAATGCTCAACATCCTTCATCATCAGGGAAATACAAATCAAAATGAGATACTGCCTCACACCTGTCAGCATGGCTAAAATTATCAACTCAGGAAATAACAGAGGTAAGTGAGGGTGTAGAGAAAGGGGAACCATCTTAAACTATTAGTGGGAATGCAAACTGGTACAGCCACTGTGGAGAACAGTTAAGGAGGTTCCTCAAAAAGTTAAAAATAGAACTAACCCTATAACTCAGCAATTGTACTACTGGTATTTATCCAAAAGACGCAAAAATACTGATTTGAAATGAGACATGCACCCCGTTGTTTACAGCAGTACTATCAACAATAACCAAATTATGGAAAGAGTTCCAATGTCCATTGATCAATGAATAGATAAAGGAGAAATGGTATGTATACATATATATAAATATATATGTGTGTGTGTGTATGTATATATAATGGAATATTATTCAGCCATCAAAAGAATGAGATCTTGCCATTTGAAAGATGTGGATAGAACTAGAGTGTATTATGCTAAGTGAAGTAAGTCAGTCAGAGAAGGAATACCATATGATTTCATTCATATGGGGAACTGAAGAAAAAACAGATGAAAATAGGGGAAGGGGGCCAGTTCGGCAAATCCCTGGCGACCGCGGTGGGAAGATTCCTCCGGGCTTCGATTGCCGGACACGTGAGTGTTAGTCCATGGGGCATCTTTGCCTCTGCAGCCCTTAGACCTGCTGCTTCCAGAAGAACATGCCTGACAAATGTATTGTGGTCTGGTTCTGGTCAAGCAAAATTCGCTTTTAGCACCAGTTCCTCCTACCACGCTCCTGCCGTCACCCAGCACGCGCCCTACTTTAAGGGCACTGCCGTTGTCAACGGAGAGTTCAAAGATCTAACCCTCAATAACTTTAAGGGGAGATATTTGGTGCTTTTCTTCTATCCGTTGGACTTCACCTTTGTGTGTCCTACAGAAATTGTTGCTTTTAGTGACAAAGCCAAAGAATTTCAGACATGAACTGTGACGTTGTTGCAGCATCAGTGGATTCCCACTTCACCCATCTCGCCTGGATCAGCACACTGCAGAAGAATCACAGTTTGGGCCACATGAACATTGCACTCCTGTCAGATCTGACTAAACAGATTTCTCGAGACTATGACGTGCTGTTAGAAGGCCCTGGTATTGCTCTAAGAGGTCTCTTCATCACTGACCTCAATGGAGTCATCAAGCATTTGAGTGTCAATGATCTCCCTGTGGGCCCAAGTGTGGAAGAGACCCTCTGCTTGGTGAAGGCATTCCAGTTTGTGGAAACCCATGGAGAAGTCTGCCCAGCAAACTGGACCCCGGATTCTCCTTTAATCAAGCCAGATCCAAGTGCTTCCAAAGAATACTTTGAGAAGGTAAATCAGTAGGTCATCCTGTGTCCCCACCTCTTCTCACATCAGGAAAGAGTGCAGTTGGAACTCACCTTTAGCATTTCAAAAATGATTATTTATAGAAGATAAAATACCCATTATGCTTATATTCGTAAATAATCTAAATGTTTTGTTTTTGTAACACTGGCCAAGGCTTTTAAATGTATTCACATACTTTAATTGGTAACCTCTTGATGGCTGGCTAGCTAGTTTGTAGGATGCTAGTTCACCTAGTCCTTGCATTGTGTCTTCATTGGAAAGAGGAAACATTCTTCTTTGTTGGCCTTACTTGAACCTTTATGTTCATCAGAGTAGTACAACAAGCACTGAAGCTTGTGATCAAAGGTCCTGAAACTTTGTTGAATTTCTTTGCGATAAACTAAATTTTCTTTTAAGGCAGCAAAAATCATACATAGTTTTAAGGTGTTAACATCAGTGGTCTAATGTAATAACTCTTGCAATGGCTGTATGTGTACTTGAAAAAAATGTGAATCATGTTTTTAAAAAAAACACGGTGGCAGAGTGACTTAAGTGATCATGTGTGTCTCTTATCCCAGAGATTAACATAGTTATTTTACTTATTTGTTAGCTGACGTAGGGTCTACATACTATTCTAGATACTGATTGGATATAATTATAAAGGACATTTATTGAATCCAGGAATTGCATTCTGAAATCATTGCAATTATTTTCTTTTCTGAAGTGCTCAATGTAAAGTACATAATAAACATATTTTAAAATAAAAAAAAAAAAGAAAATAGGGCAAGGGAAGGAAAGATAAAATAAGATAAAAAGAGAGAGGGAGTCACACCATAAGAGACTCCAACAATAGAGATCAAACTGAGGATAATGGAGGGGAGTTGGTTGGGGGGATGGGCTAAATGGGTGAAAGGTATTAAGGAGGGCACTTGTGATGAGCACTGGGTATTGGTAGATGATGAATCATTAACTTCTACTCCTGACACCAATACTGCACTATATGCTAACTATCTTGAATTTAAATAAAATCTTGGAAGAAAAACAAACAAAAAAACACCAAAATAAAACAAAAACAAAAAAAACAAACACAAAAGGTTTTGCATAGTTTTATGAGATTAATGTACCATACATTAAATAGGAGTCAAGTTAATTTTTCTTATTCTGGAAAAGAATGGATTTTTATCAGTCAGATCACATAAATACAAGGCACTGTAGCAGAAGTGGAAGAATGTGATGGAAAGGTATAAGCACAAAAACAGTTCAATAACAATACGAGATTTTAAGGTTTCAGAAAATAGCATAAGGTCTCAAGGTCAGTATAAAATTATTGTCAAAAAAGCAGCATGTGGGTGTTGTACATAAGTGATGAATCACTAACTTCTATTCTAGAAACCAGTATTATACTATATGTTAACTAAAAAAAACTTAAAAAAACAAAACAACATGGAAAATAAAGCTTCTATATGTTCAAAGGAGAGAAATCACCTCAAGTTAGAATGAGATTTATTTTCTAATCACAGAACTTAGTACATATATAGGAAACTAGAAAAGTCTTAACATATTCAAAAGTCCTTAAACAATAAATGTCAAAATTTATAAAAAATCCTAATGTTTGATTAATGTTTCTAACATCTGAGCATTAATATGCACACTAATAGCTTTCATTTTGAGATTACTGTTTTTTCTCTCTTCATTATTTCTTCAAGACTCTCTTCTAACAAATTTGTTTGTGATATATGATAGTAAATTCATCCTTGCAGTGAGTGGTTAATTGTACCTGTGGTTCATCTAGTCCTGTCATCAGGGCTTTCTTTTCCTTGGTATGTATGGATTTGTGCTTGGAATATCTATTCTAATACTAGTGAGTTGATGGCATTGCATTCTTTGGTCTAATATCTATCACACAGAAAAATATCTTTCTTGGGTAGTAGTAGAATATTATTTATGTTAAATGAAAACCACTATCAGTTTAGTCGATGCTATGGATGAATTTCCATCTTATTACTTTGAATAAATCAATTCACTTTTATTCAATGTCTGATGTTTACACACACGTGCACACACATACACAAAACGCATTTTTACAGTACTTTTAAGAAATAGCTCATGAGTTTTTGTAAGATGGAGAAGCTTTTATGTTAAACTTGAAGAGCTTCAGAATCTGCCACCAAGAAAGCCACAGTTCCATATCCAAAGACTGAAGACAAAACAGAGTTCCCATAACCTATATATTCATCAACCAAACAAAAGTTCTCATATCATAAAATACTGATTAGTGTATACATCACTCATTAATTATTCCCTACTCAAATATTCTTTCCTCTTTAACACTAAAAAGCCTGTCCTTACCTATTAAGATAAAGGTTCTGTTAGTTGGTCTTACCTTCATCATTGGATGTTGCAACTGTATCTATTCTTTTAGGATTCTATTTATGACTATAGAAAATATAACACAATTGACAATAATATAATATAAAATGACTCAAAGTCAATATCAAAGAAAAATGCAGGATTCCATGAGGCATAGGGTTAGTGAAAGTGGTACTTGAGCACTACTCAAATTGCACATAACCCCAGTTAAGACAGTTAAAAGGTGAAATAAAGAAGATTAGCAAGGATTATTACTCCACTGATGCGCCAAAGGTGAATAATCTGAATATCTAAGATTGGAGAGATCCTTGGGAAAATTGAAAAAATAAACAAAAAAAAGACCCTGAATATTTTTGCAAAACAATCCTCTTTAAAACATCCTAGAAGGTTAAGCATTAATAGTTGGATATCATATTGTGTTATCAACTGTGATAGAAATAACAAAAAAGAAAATGAAAATGTCATTCATTCTTTATGGAGTTTCATTATTTTACAGTTAAAATTATAACCTGTACTTAAATAGCCTTTGGTTTAGTACTTTTCATAATAAAGTCCTACTAAACCTTCCCTTTCTATTCCCATGCTCCCACTATTTACTATACATCTTTCATTTCTATTTCATTTAGATTCCTTGTTCTGGTATGGATTCTTAGGTAAAAACAATAATACAGGATAGGCATAAAAAGAATTTTGATTCTTAAAAATGAATACAGATTAAGTGAATTCCTTTTTAACATGGATGTGAAACTTAATTTCATGTGCTCATAAACAATGCATTCCATAGGCCTAGTATAGTGTTAACAAAGAAAGCAAATGTCATCCTCAATCTTTGTTTATACCTTGAGAGATTTCAATGCACAATGTAAGGTATTGGGTGAACAAGTAATTAAAGCTCACCTATATAAACAGAGGTCTGCAAAGTCTGGGAGATTAAAATCAATGCAAAGTTATATGGTAAGTCAGCTCAGGGATTGAAATACAGAAGAAATATGATCATAACTCTGATTAACCTTGCCGTAATATTTCTCAGCAACTAAGGGTTTTTAAAGATATATATTAAAAGTCAAATGACATGGATATGGAATAATCAATCTATCATATGAAAAGCAAGGATCATTTGGAAAGTGATAAAAATCAATTGATAGTTTTCCAAGATGATAGGAAAATATATTTATTTACTTAGAAGAGGAAAAAAACCTTTATGTTAAGCAATCCAACCGTTAAATAAAATGTCAGATTTCATGTTTGTAAGAACAATTACTTTAATCACAATAACTACTTTTTTTAATTGAAATATTATTGATATACCATATGGAAACGAGAATACCAGTAATAGAAACAAATGTTTGCTGATGTTTAAACAACTAAAACTTTAACCTAAGGATAGTATTCTGAAGAATAAGTAGGAAAAAGGATAGTATTCTGAAGAATAAGTTGGAAAAAATGAATGCAGTAGTCAGGTATAAGTACAAGTACCAATTAACAATTGCCATATGATAATATGGGTGATTATAGCCAGATATTCTGATTATTCAATTAACGTCAGAGAGGAGAATTTTAATGTAAAATTTCCTAACTTTGAAAGATTATAGGACACAAATGACATAAATCTGCCCGCTGAATCTGGCCTATAGGCCAGTGGTGTTGCAAATCTAGAATAAAGTAATGATATTTTTATTTATAACTGACATATTTATAGTAAGGAAAATGTTTCAAATACTTTAGTTCAATTTTCTCATGTCAATCCTATTAATATTCTTTAGTAAGTTTACAAATGGGAATAATAAAATTGTGATATTTTAAAAAATATTTTATTTATTTGAGAGGAGGAGGAGAGAGAGAGAGCACAGAGAGAAAAGCAGACTCTCCTCTGAGCAGGGAGCCTGATGCCACTTGATCCCAGGACTCTTATCACGACACGAGCTGAAGGCAGATGCTTAACTGACTGAGCCACCCAGGTGCCCTTGTAAGATCTTCTCAATTATGCTTTCATTTCCAAATGTCTTGGCATTGGGTAGGAGGCAGAAAAGAGAAGTTAAGTGTGCATCCAAACTTGTGAACATTTAGTGAAGAACAATGACAATATCAAAGATACACAACTACAATCTAGACTCCTTTCTTTGTTTTCCTTCAGTTATCCCTCAGTTATTCAGAATGACAGAGTGCTATAAACTGCACTGTCTATTTGTTTCAGGAGCAGATGGGAAAAGTAGCTGCTTTAAAATGTGATTAAAATATGAGGCCTCTGTTTCGTATTTATTTTTCTTTTTAAGCTTCAGATTTTAGGCTTAAGCAACATTAATCAAGGGAAGAAGAACCAGACAGCTGCTGTAGCCCTAGTCCAACGTTTATGTCTCTGCATGGGAAATGCTATAAAAACAAACAAATAATCACACCAAATAGACAATCGACTCTATCTTTTGCAAAATCTGAGAGAAAAAAAAATATCACTCATATATTGTTGGAGTGAGTCCAGTGTGGTGTACAATCTTTATGGAGGGTAACTAGTCAATATTTATTTAAATTAAAAATGCATTTACTATTTTGTATTCTGGTTATGGTGATGGTTATGCAAATCTATGCATGTGTTAAAATTTACAGACTGGTACATCAAAAGAATGTAGTCAGTTTTACTGTATAATAATTTT